TATTTGTAGGAATCGCATTGGGGTTTTCCTTTTTTTTTTTTTTTTCTTGGTACTGGGGTTTGAACTCAGGACCTTGTGCTTGCAAGGCAGGCGGTGGAACCACTGAGCTAAATCCCCACCCCCCCCAAGGCTTTTTAATAGTAATCTCCAGTTAGGATGGCATCTGTTTCCTTTGTAATGGGGTCTAGAATCCTTTCTGAAGTCATAGGTGGTGAGGAGCCCTCTGAGGTGCAGAACATCTGGTAGATTTACCTGCCAGGCCGGGTGGTTCTACTGCTTTCTAACTTTCTAAGAACCTTTTTCTTTCCTAAAGAGTTCTGCAATTATTTGACAAATATATGTAAGTATCATGTTTCCTTGTGGTGTATGCTCTGTTCTGCTTTGTTTTTAAATCAAATGCCTGTTTGGGAGGAGATGAACGTATTTAGTCTATTAGATTAGCGCTGCTGGATTATTTTTTAAAGTGTAACCTTGACTAGCTGTCTTATTGTTTGTCCTGTAAGATTAGTCTATCAATTAAAGTTTGATAATTAATTGCGTCTCTTTCCTTCCAGTTCTTCATGCGCCTCATTCATGCTGGGGACTGACCAATATTTGCAGCAGTGCCTAAAGCCATCTTTTGCCAACTTTAGTCTTCTTTATTTAATTTCAAGTATATTTGAATTTGTCCTCTACTGAACCATTGATAAAGAGTGGCAGCCAGTGACCACCATGCCAGTGAGCCACTACCAGGACAGCCCTCCGTGTGCGCTCTGGCCCACTGCCCTTCCGCCGCCTCCCTAGGTACCTGTGTATATCACCGACCAGTTAGCCCAAGCAGACATGCTCAGTAAAACATTGGAAACAGAGCTCCAGCTACTGCTACACAGACCCCGGAGCAGGGAGGGAGAGGATTATTACCAAAACTGGAAGCAGCATGGAGATCTTAGTGATTGATGGTCTCTCCAAACTGGTTTGGACCCAGGACCCCTCCCATTAGACCCTTTCTCCTCATCCCCATGTTTGTTAAATGTTCCTGAAGGTTCTGGTTTACTTCCGCTTCCCAGCAGGGAGAGGGCTCAGCTCTTTTTCCCATTTTCCTACAACTTCATGATCCTGAAGCAACCCTGCTGGACTCTGTTTTTTTTGTTTTTTTTGGGTTCTTTTTTTTTTTTTTTTTTGAGACAGGGTCTCACTATGAAATTGAGACTGACCTGGAGCTCATTTTGTAGCCCAGGCTGGTCTTGAACTCATAGCGATCCTCCTGCCTCAGCCTTCCGAGTGCTGGGATTACAGGTGTGCGCCACCATGCCTGGCATCCTGCTGGACTCTGAAGGCTCTGGCTCTCACATGGGAGAGGAGGGCAGTGTGGGTCGTGCACATGCTGTCCATCTGATGCCTCCTGAGGATCTTCTGTCTGTTCAGAGGGTACTTCCGGTTTTTATCCCATATCTGAGCAGTTCTTACAGGCAATGTAAAACCAACAGGATGATTGTGTCTCCTGCAATGGAGAGTGAGGTAAACTACAATATGAATGTGTCCCCATACTGTTGGGAGAAGATGTCTGGTATTTCCTGTGCTCTGGGGAACAGTTCTTTTTCTACACTGGAGATCCATCAACCAGACGATAGGCATTAGGGCAAGAGGCCACGTCTCCCCACTCTTGCCTGAGTTGTTCTGTCCAGGCTGCCCACATAGGAGGGGTGCGCTGCTTCTCTACCCAGGAGACCGCTGTCCCGCACACTCGCCTGCCTGCTCCTCCCCTGTCTTCTTCCTTCTCAAACTGCTTTTGTGTATTTGCCAAGGCTACTTTTCTGAAGCCTTGTTAGCCTTGCCTTTTCTCTTAACTTTTCCTACTGTCCACCCCCATTACAACTCTGAATTTCAAGTTTCTTGTTTCTCTTTTTACCCTTCAATAAACTTTTGATTTTTCCCTGTTTGGAAAGTTTTCCAACATAAAAGGCTGATCACATTTTTAATTTTTTCATATAGGTTTAGCATTTGTTAAAATATTAGCCAACTTTGCTTTGTTTCTCTAGATATACTGCTTTTATTTTTTTGATTTGACAAGATACTGTGACAGACACTTCAGCTGTGCTATTTGAGCTTGCATCTCCCAAGAAGGATGTTTTACCATAATACCATGAACTCGCCTAAAACCAATATTCAGTCAGATCACGTAATAATCAATGGGGCAAAATACATTTCAGAATTTTTTTCTAATTAATGATTATGTATACCTTTGTCTTTCATATTTTTAAAATACCCTTTTAACTTTTCTGTTACTAGTCTTAGCTTTCTTCTCCTCAAAGACAAGTAATTTACCCATGTGTGTGCATGTGTGCACACACACACACCCCCCCCAGTGCTGGGGATTGAACCCAGGCCTCACATGTGCTAGGCAAGTGCCAGTACTCTGCCACTCAACCACACCCCAGGCCCTCCTGTGTACTCGGTCTTCCCATTGTGACCCTGTCACCTCCTGTCTCGCAGGCTGCTCTGCCTGTCCTGTGCTGCTCATGGCTGCATAGCTGTGCTCCTGAGGAATCAGTCAGAGCAGTGGCTCCAGAGAGCACAGCAGTCTTCTCATCCAGGGATCACTGTGCTCCACGTCCGCATCCAAGTCTCAGTCTCCAGGGCTCCACGCTACAGGAGGGTTCACATGACTTGGGTGGAGGGATCTGATCCGTGGTACTGGAAAATCCTGTCAAACTCAGCCCGGTGGAGGGGCTCAAATCAGGCTAAGCACTGGGCCATTAACTCCTGGCTGTGCTCTATTTTCTGTTGACTTAGAGCCTCTGAGACTAGCAGCCCCAAAGGAAAGAACTTTCTCCCTAAGAGTTCAAGTAAAAGTCTCAGATGAGGCCTTTACTGGACTGTGACTCCCACCTCCACAAACGTTTGGACATGATAACCTTTAGTCATTGTTTTTTGTTTTTATTTTGGCACTGGGGATCGAACTCAGGTCTTTGTGCTTGTGAGGCAGGCGGCAGAATCTCTGAGCTAAATCCCCAGCCCTACCTTCATTCATTCATTGTTAGCCTGGGGCTTTCAGGTGAACACTCAAAATCACAATCCTGTCTCAGCATCATCCTGAGTGCTGGGATCACAGGCATATTGCACCACACCTTTCATTTATTGCATATTTGTAATTTGGAAAATAGAGTAACAAACATAAGCCCTTTGTATCTGTTGTATCTCAATAATTATTAGCTTTTTGGTACAGAGCTGGGCATGGTGGCGCATGCCTATAATCCGAACACTTGGGAGGCTGATGCAGGAGGATCGCTGTGAGTTCAAGACCAGCCTGGGCTACATAATGAGTTCCAGGTCAGTCTCAACTACATAGTGAGACCCTGTCTCAAAAAAAAATTCCACACAAAGGAGCCCCTTTTTAAAAAAAAAAAAAAAAAAAAAAAAAGACAATGTCATGAATGTCCTCTTTCCAAAAAGAAGGGAATACATCTAATGAGTAACTCAAGGGTGGCGCAGCAGGAAGCAGCCCCACCAGCACCTCAGGAAGGGAAGTGGGCCAACTCCCGCCTTTCTGCCACTTCACTCCTCTGCCAGAAGGTCCTGCCACTGAGAGGACAGCTCGGCCGAGTTCCCTTCTACACAGCAGAATTTGAGTAAAAGAGCAGTCATTTCATTGTGACTCCAGGACCATACAGTGGGTGTCCGCTGTCTGGGCTGGCGTGGTGCCTGTGATCGCTGCAGCATCATGATCGCTGCAGCGTCGGAAGGGCAAGTACTGTCGGCGCCCAGGTCTGGCTCCACACGCCATTTCGGTGTGGTGGCCTAGTGCCTTTGGGCAGTGTTTCATACCTGACTGCACTGGCTCCCACCACGGAGCTGGTCCTAAGCTGGGTGCAAACATTCTGTATTAGAAAAATGGGAGGGAAAGGGGGAGTAAAAAAGATGAAAATACAAGTATGTACCAATTCCCCAGGATGCATGTAGTTATGAGGCATCACAAACATATACTAATAAAAGGGGAAAATACCTACAATAAAGCGAAAGGTAAAGGCCGTAAGGAGTGTATGCATGTGACCCACACAGCCCTAAGACCAGAAGAGGCAGAATCGGTACTCACTGATGTGTGACGGACACAATGCCAAGCTAACCTTCCAGAAGGAAAGAGTCTCCTAGCTTCCAAAACTATTAATATAGAGCCAGGCATGATGGTGCACACTTGTAATCCCAGCACTTGGGAGGCTGAGGCAGGAAGATTGCTGTGAGTTTGAAGCCAGCCTGGGCTACACAGTGAGTTCAACGTCAGCCTGAACAACAAAGGGAGACCCTGCCTCAAAAAAAAGGAGAAAAAAAACAGGGATCCTTAGGTCAGAGGTGAAAAACCTGTCTCAGGTACTATCAGCTGGTGGCACCTGATAACCCAGTGGCTAATGGAACAGAGTTCTTTGACCATAAATACATTCATTCCATATACTGATGGCAGGACAGAAACTCATTTCAATTACGTGGCTGGACAGCAGCACAGTTTTGATACGTACGAATGAATCGTAATGACAAATCATACATTTTAAAAATACTAAGCAGTTATCAGTACAGGTAGGCACTTTACAAACATCATTAAAAAGGATGAGAAAGCTGGGCATGGTGGCACACGCCTGTAATCCCAGCACTTAGGAGGATGAGGCAGGAGAATCGCTGTGAGTTCGAGACCAGCCTGGGCTACATAGTGAGTTCTAGGTCAGTCTCAACTATATAGTGAGACACTGTCTCAAAAAAAAAAAAAAAAAATGATTGAGAAAAAGATGTTGGTTTTATTGATTTATTTTCAAAGGGCAAAACAAGACATCTTAAATACAAGTCCAAAAGGAGTTGCTCTGTGTGATGATGACAAAATGCATTCTCCCATCCAGTCACCAAGATCACCGGAGTCTTCCATGCGGAAAGGAGTCTGCCAAGGACAGGATAAGTTCAGTGTTTGTCTTTGTCACATAGGGACTCCTGAGTGACACCTTTTGGATATTAAGTCCAGTGTCACTACATATGTAGACACCACATAGTATTTTAGAGTCTTCTCGTTTGGGTTTCTAGAGGCTATAGCCAGTGTTTACTGAGGCTGCTTTCCAGGAGGCACACCGTCAGTTTCACCTTCACCAGAGACCCGGCCGAGTCCCACATCGGTGCCACCTTACAGATGAGGAGACTTAACAGACCTAAGCAGCCTGGCCAGTGTCTCCAGGCGGGAAGCCAGCTGAGGACAGGCCTGGGTCTCTGACTCCAAAGGCGTGCTCTGAGGCCACCCAGCCTAAGGAGAAGCTGGGTGCCTCGACTTCTGGCACGGGTGCCAGACCTGCCGTGGCTGGGTAACCTGGAGCACCTGTGCTGTCACCTCCACTGTAAGGCAGTCCTTCCTGCTCCCAGGCCCACTTGAGAACAAAAATCAGCAGAGCACCACCCTTCAAGGGGCAGACGCAGTAACCAGAAGCAGTCTGCATTTTATAATACTAAAAATCTGTTTTTATTTTTTTCTTAACTTTTGCTTTCTGGAGAACCAGACTAGATTAATTCTACAGAACACTTAAGTAAATCAGATTATTTACCTGGTGTTTTATTCATATACATCCTTCTTATCTGCAATGTAATCTACAATTTCTTGTGGACACATTAACTTTTCCGCATCTATATCTGGAATTTCAAACCCTAAATGAAAAAAAAAGGCACAGCAACATTTGAGTACAGAAAAAGCATGCCCCTTAAACAACAGCTAACACTTCGTTAATACCTATAGGTGTTTAAGAAATTCCTAGCAGTCTGGAATCTCATGAAGGTTGTGAGCCAGTTAGGGATTTTTCAGAAACAGGTAAAACAACAGAAAATTCCTGCTTTTAAAGCATACAGTTCCCTGGCTGTACAGTACTAATATCTAACCCCCAGGACATTTTCATCGACCCTAAAAATAAACTGGGCAGTCATTACTCATGGCAGGCACTGGTCCAGTCTGTCTCTGGATTTATCTTTTTATTGGTGGTAGAACTGGGGATCGAACCCAGGACCCTCCTGCTGAGCTCCATCCCTAGCCCTTTTTATTTTCCTGTGCCACCATGCCTGGCTGGATTTGCCTCATCTTGACCTTTCACATATATGGAATCATGCTACATGTGGTCTTCTGTATTGACTGCTTTCACTCAGTGTGTTCTCAAGGTTCATCCATGTTGCTATATGGATTGTATTTTATTCCTTTTTCTGAATGGTTGGGTTTTGAGCGTTACCATTTACTGAATGGTTACTCTGGCTCAGCATTATTTACACATAAGCACTCTCCTCACAGCACTCCCAATCCTGTCACCCTCATTTTACAGCTGAAGAAACATAACAGTTACTTGTTCAGACTCATACATGGCTAAGCCCAACCTGACCTGGTTCTCATCTACTCAGCATCATCTGTGAGGAATTTTAACTAAGTCAGGCCCCCCAGGGTGGCACAAGACCCTCTGCTCCCTATTGGAGCAGCTCACCCAGAAGTAAACCAAGTAGTTTTTATAAAGGTCTCATTTACACAACAAATAGTGCCCAACAAAGACAGCTTGGAGCAAGCATTTAAGGCACTAAGGGAGACCAAGGTCAGAGGGCTGCATGTGTCCTCACACAGCCTGTCATTTCTACTTTGCTGCTCTCGCCAGTTAGGGCAACAAGAGGGGCTCAAGTGTCATCAGCAGCTCTACAGGTGAGGCCTTTGCCCTTCATTTTGGAACCATCTTAGGAGTCTAAGTCCTAGGCTCTCCAGCATTTCCGGTCACCCATCCGCAATTCCACAGTGGGCTGTCCCTAACATTCACTTTCCCTGACAGGTGGCTGGGGAAGTATGTGTGTTGCTGCTTCTATTAATGTCTGATTTCATCTCAGACTTCCAGCATTCCTTTCAGTTTGATCCACCTTACATAACACAGCCTATGTATGTTACCAAATTCGTCTTCCATGGCCATGATAATCTCCACTTGGTCCAAACTGTCTAAGCCCAGGTCTTTCATAAAATGGGAATTTACCGAGAGCTGCAAAAAAGGAACACCAAAGAAAATTTAGTACATGGTGAAAGTGTTTCCTTCCCAACATATCCATGCTGTCCACTTAGTCTTCATATAGAATTTTGGGGGGTGGGGGTTGTTTTGGCACCAGGGACTGAACCTGGGGCCTTGCTCTTTCCAGGCAGGTGGTGGAACCTGAGTTAAATCCCGGCCCTGTGTTTTTGGTGTTTTGAGACAAGGACTCACTATGTAGCCCAGGCTGGCCTTGAACTTTCAGCGATCCTCCTGCTCCTGCCTCAGCCTAGTAAGTGCTGAGCCTACAGGCAAGTGCCACCATGCCTAGCTAGAAGATTTCTTTTTAAAATATAGAGGCCTTAACTACCATTCTATATTTAACCTATGCTGACATATATAAGTGTGCTTTGTGTTACTTTGTTCAACTTTATTTTGAAGTGCTTAACAGTGTAACAAAGTTAATGATGAAGGAATTCACATCACATCCTTCATTGTGATTTTGTTTTGTTTTTTAAGACAAGGGTCTCATTATGAAGTCCAGGCTGGGCTGTAGCCCAGGCTGGCCTCAAACTTGCAGTGATCCTCCTGCCTCAGCATCCCAAGTGCTAGAATTATGGGCATGGGTTGCCACACGTGGCACATTTTTTTACCTTGGTTTTTAATCACTGTTACACATGACATCTAAGGGAGTTGTTTTCTTGCTGCCTTACTGACAACTGAAAACCCACACCTTAGAGGTGGCATTTCTCTCACACAAAAGTAGCAGGCTAACATCAGATGTGGTGGTGCATGCCCATCATCCCAGTGCTGAGGAGCAGGAGGTGGGAGACTGCCAAATTCAAGGCCAGCCTGGACTACATAGCGAGTCCCTATCTTAAAAAAAAAAAAAAAGGGAATAGCTGGCTGTTGTAGGGCTGGAGGTATACCTCAGTGGGGGAGTACTTGCTTAGCACATGTGAGGCCCTGGAGTTATGCCCAGCGCTGCATTAAAAAATCAAAGATTACTGTAAACTGCATATGACAAAATGTCTTTTTCACTCTTCTTTCAATTTAGACCTCAAGATCGCCAGGAAGGGCTAAGGGTGTAGCTCATGCCTACCAGGCAGGTGCAGGGCTCCAGATTCAATCCCCAATCCTTCCCTGCTGCCAGTCACCATGAAGAATTCTTTAAATCCCACATCAAAAAACAAACTCTCTTTGCAGGGACAGTGGCACACATCTGTAATCCCAGCTACTTGGGAGGCTGAGGCAAGAGGGACACAAGGTTGAGGCCAGCCTGAGCAACTACTCAGTGAGGTCCTATCTTAAAAAATAAAAAGGGGCCAGAGATTTAGCTCAGTGGTTCTGCTGCCTGCCTTGGAAGCTCAAGGGCCCGAGTTCAATCTCTGGTACCAAATAAATAAATAAGGGCTGGATCTCTGGTAGATTCCCAGTACCACAAAAACAAAAAAAGCAAAAGCCCTATCCTGTTTTTTATTTTGAGAGAGTCAGTAAACTGTCCAAGTAGGACCTGAATCATCATTTTCCTGCCTCAGCCTCCCTCAGTGCTAGGATTACAGGTGTGTGCTACTGCACCTGGCTCAGGTTCAGCTGTTAAAGGCTTTTTTACTTGGGGACTAAATTGCTCAGGCTGGCCTGGAACATTTGATCTTCCTGCCTCAGTCTCTCAAGCATCTGCGATTACAGGTATGTGCTATCATGACTGGCTTAAAGAAGGAAACTTTATAGGTGGGTGTGGCAGAGCATGTAATCCTTGTACTTAGGAGGCTGAGGCAGGAAGATCACTGTCAGTTAGAGGTCAGCCTGGGCAACATAGTGAGTTAGAGGTCAGCCTGAGCTCCATAAGCAGATCCTGTCTCAAAAAAGAAAAATAGCTGGGTGTGGTGGCACATGCCTGTAGTCCTAGTACTCAGGAGGATCAACATGAGTTCAAGGCCAGCCAGGGCTACACAGTGATCTCAAGGACAGCCTGAACTGCAGAATGACACCTTGTCTCAAAAGTAAGGAAACTTTTATGTAACATTTGATAAAAATCTTAAGAGTTACTAAGGTAAAAAAGCAAGGGGCAGAACCAGAGATTATGGGTTGAGTGGCACTTGTGGGTTTTATTGTTGGGGGTCAAACCCTAAGTGTGCCTTCTACAACTGACTCACATACACCCTCTGCCCACATACATATATCTTGTGGGATGGATACATATAAATACTCGTGTATGTGTACAGTGGTGCCTCACTCGGTTCGCAAACTTGATTCTTTCTACAATTCTGGTTGTAAGCTGATGATGATGAGAACTGAATCAAATTCAATGGATAGATTCACTGTGGACCCTGTGGGGAAATTTGATTCTGTCCTTGTCCAGTTTGGTCTGTGACCAGAGTTGAGAAAACTGAGTTCATGAACAGAAGAACCACTGCACTTTCGTGCACTCCCATTTCTTCTGCACAGATACATACATACATACATACATACATACATACATACATACATACATACATCTCCTAGTGGGGAACTGGGCGGCTCACAGCACTTTTTACTGAATGTACTTTTTTGCCCTTTGAATTTCACACCATGTGATTAAATACTCGAGGAAAACGTAAACCACCATCAGTTACCTTTTCGGGGTCAATCTTGTCATAAAGCTTCAAGACGTACAGCACCCGGTCCTTGATTCCTTCTAATGTCAAGGAGGGAGCGTCGCTATACTGGCGGCACAGCAGTGGAAGCCTCCCTGGAACCTAGAGCAAGGATGGGAAGGAAGCACTGTCATGGAACCCAGGACACCTGTAAAATAAACGCAGGAGCCCAAAGTGTTTGCATTTGACTGGCCGCCAGGACACACCGGGTTACCACGCTGGGTGGTCAGCAGCATCAGAATGGGATTCCTTCCCCTCAGAGCTGGGCTGGCAGCTCTGACTGGTGGGCTTGGCTTTCAGGTTTGGATTATTTATCCTGCTGAGTGAGACTAACTTTAGGCACTAAAGTCATATAGGGCCAGGCATGGTGGTGCACGCCTGTAATCCCAGCACTCATGAGGCTGAGGCAGGAGGATCACTGTGATTTTGATGCCAAGGCCAGCCTGAATTACACAGTAAGACCCTGTTTCCAAAAAAAAAAGCACACAGACAGACTTGTCAAGGAATACTGAACAGAAATGCCACCTGAGGGCCACACGCTGCAAATTCCCAGTTTATCTAAACTGGCTTAAGTGGTGATTAAACTGACCTTGGCCAGGACAAATGAAGCCAACCACCAAGCCAGTCCCCACCTTCCAGTCTGGGTCCCTTCCAGGTAGGTTTGTCCACTCCAGCAGCCAGAGCATGAACCAGCTATCACCTCCATGGCAGAGTAACATCTCCAGTGTGTCCGACTTTGGGCTGCTTGATATTCAACTAGGTCCTGGAGTCAGGACCATATTTCAGTCAATGAATGCTGGATGAGCTCTCACTCAACAGGGCAGGGGATTACAGGCGGGGAAGGTAAAATGAGAAAAGATGAGTCGGGCAGTTTTAGGATTCCCTAATCCAAACTGGTTTGTTTATTTTCTGAAGTTAATGTTAAGTCCTCAGTCTGTAGTTCGTAGGGCACTTCACACATAAAAAAATGGGTTGGCTTGTGGCAGCATCATCCAAGCAGCTGGAGTCCACATGGACACCAGTGTACAGAGAGTAGCTGCAGTGGGGCAGCATGAGGCAGGAAATGTGCTGTACTGTGCACGAGAAGTCAGACGCAGGAATTTGCTGCTGCTGGCTTTTACCAGCTGTTTGGAGTCAGGCAAGACTTAATCTTTGTCTGCCTCAGTTTCTTATCTATAAAATGGGGATAAAGAACAGTACTGCACCCAGAGGACTGTTATGAGGCATCGATGAGATGAAATGAAGGGCTCTGAACACTGCTTGGCATAGACATAACTTGTACGATTTAGGGATTTAGGGTCATTTCATACACCGTGATGATAACAGCCTGCCAGGGTGACCCTCCGCTGTGATGTCTCTTTATTGGTCTTGCTTTTCTGGTGTCTTTATTGATTCCTAATTAAGCACTGCCCTAAGCACTTTACACACATTCCTTAACTTTCACAGTAACCCTGTGAGGTTCACAGTACTTCTTCTGCAGATGAGGAAACTGAGGCAGAGAATGGCTGTGTATCCTACCCCAGGCCTTCCACCATGACCTCTCAAGAGGATCTTACTGCACCTTCCTGCCAGATCTCCACTGTTAAAAAACAGAACAACAGAGGGCTGAGGATTTAGCTCAGTGGTTCCACTGCCTGCCTCCCAAGCACAAGGTCTCAAGTTTGATCCCCAGTACCAAAAAAACAAAACAACAGCGACCCAAAACAACAATAGAAAATGAGCAAAAAATCCCCAACAGCCAGCAGAGGCTGTTACTATAATTGTTCTTCCCTAAGACCTACAACTCGACAATGACATCAGTTGTCTCCCCCAGACATCACAGAAGGCCCTGTTTGCAAGAATAACTGGCCCCTGGACTAATAACTCGATCCATTTCCATCAGAATCCATCTTAGTCCAGCAGGATCCTTCTCTGCCTGGAATAACACAGAGGGAGCTAAGCAAATGGCTTTACAGACCTTCTCCACAACCTGCCTGCTGGACAGCTCTGCCCAGATATCTCAAACTCCACACCTGTCCCCAAAAATCAGTTGTCCCCCAGACATCACAGAAGGCCCTGTTTGCAAGAATAACTGGCCCCTGGACTAATAACTCGATCCATTTCCATCAGAATCCATCTTAGTCCAGCAGGATCCTTCTCTGCCTGGAATAACACAGAGGGAGCTCTGCACA